GTAATTTTAACCCCGATAGTAGATGAATAAAATGAGACTCACATTAACTACTCAGTACCCTGAGTAGTGAGAGAGAGAAGGTTCAAATTCAGGCATGCTGACTTCTGTGGCCGGACTGTTGCCCACACCATAGTGCTTCTGCCTGAGAGCACCAGGGTCTCCTCGTTGTGACCTTGCTCCTGTCTATGTGTTCGTGACTCGCAGTGTCTGTCTATGACCTCACCAGGACAGAACGGTCATCATCATGGTGTTTGCGGGGCTGGGGATTTAGCTCAGCGGCGCAACGCCTGCCTGGTAAGCGCGAGGTTGTGAGTTCGATTCCCGGTCCCGGAAAACAAAACAAAACAAAACAAAATCATTGTGTTCGCCTGGGTCACTGGACAGTCCACCTGATGAGGTGAATTCCCATGGTAGACAAGGAATCTCCGTCGGGACCCTGACTGAGCTAGCTCAGTTCAAAAGAAAATATTATATCTGACTCAAACAGCACAGGGCAGTCCTCAGTCATCATCAGCAAAGCCATTCGCTAAAGAATATTGCAAAAAGGACGGGCTGTAGCGAGCGTGGAAACGTGTACTTCAATCCCAGGTTAGATCGCGAGGCTGTAAATTGAATCAGGCACTTCATCTCTGAGTGTCTTTTATTCTGCATTAATGTCTTGCAGCTTATTCTCCGGGTTTCACATGCGCATGGGCAGCTCACCTCCCTGCTCTCTGCTCTCCAGTTTTCTGCCTGCTGATTGCTGCTTTGTCGGGGCTCCTTTGCCATCTGGCTTCCAGTGGATGTTGCAGTAGATCAGAGGACCGGGAGAGAGACAGGCTAAGATAATCTGCCCTGCTCCCTGCTTTGTCCCAGGTGTTGGGCAGCAGCTGGGCAGCCCCTCTTCCTGAGCTTTGGCCGGGTACCCCTGTTCTCACCCCTTATTCCTTAAGTACCCCAGTGTCCTTTGTTTGCTGTTTAACCCGCCCACACCCTGCAAATAGCCTCTTCACTACAGTGTCCTCATGGAACTCTTTGGAAAAATTATATTTTTTGGTTGGATCCTGAATAGTAAAGCATGCAAAAGGGTTTCAAAATTATAAAGCATTATAAAAGTACAGTCTATCAAATGAGTATTGTTTGTTATTATTTAACTGTAGTTTCACCAGCAGTACTATATTGTGAAGTTTATAAAACTTTCCTGGTATTGCTATGTATTTTACCGGCCTAGACACAAAAATCAGAAGCCAGTGATCACGGTTATTACTGGCTGGAGTGAACCGAGATCTAGTTTTCTTCCTCTTCATTCACTAGGAAACGGTCTGAAAGCGGAAGAGTTATAACAATGAAAGGGTTTCCAACCTAAGCGAAACTCTCCATCCTCTAGGTGCCTAAAAGTGGAATAAGTAGGTATTCGTTCTAAGTAGAGTGTGTTTCTGTCTATATAGACACGTGCCTATGTGGCATTTTTAGTGAAACAACTATGGCAGTTGCCCCCACAGCTTTTACTGTGACTCATTATATTTCTGTTATTGGTGTCTTATTTTGAAGGCAATCATTTAAATGCACTGTAAAATTTATTTAGACATTATCAGGGTCTTATAAAAAGGTTTTGGTCAACCTGGGTGTGGTGGCACATGCCTGTAATTCCAGCACTCGGGAGGCTGAGACAGGAGGATCATTGCAAATTCAAGGCCAGCCTGGGCTACAAAGTAAGCTCAAGGCCAGCCTGAACTGCATAGTGAGACCCTGTCTCAAAAAGGCCAAAAAAAAAAAGAAAAAGTTGTTGATCCAGTCCTCAAAAATGAGTGTATATAGAATTTTGGGTAAACTTTTGGGTAGCACTTAGAGAAAAGAATGACATCATTTTTTCTATATTCTACATATATTTAAAGGTCTAAAATATTTAAATTATGTACTTCATCCTATTTATAAGGTAAATATATTAGGATCCTTTGGCTGAAAGCAACAGAATCCATTTTGGACATATTTAAAAGATAATTTACTAAGAGGACACAGGCCTATAGGGTAGTTCAGTTAAACTGGAAGATCTAGATGGATGAGCTCTACAGAGTTCAACCATCAGAAAGTCTTGGCTGAAAATATTTTCTGACCTTGAGTCACCTTGTTCAAGATTCAAATCCCAGGAGAGTCAGCCTGGCCTGGCTTGGGTCCCAGGTGCACTAGTTGGCCAAGGGAGCTGGTTTACTTGGTTGGCAATCCTGGCATGCGGAATAGAGGGAGTGCTCTGCCAAAGGAAAACCAAGGGGCTAAGGCCAGGAGAAGGGGGAAGACATTCTGGCTGGAAAAAGCACAGATTCTACCACAAAAGTTGTTGGAACATTTTATGGCATATTATTGAGATATTAAATATGCACACTTCTTCCTTAAGTAATTTTTTCAATTGGAGCATTGGAACATTAGAAATTTTGGATGAACTTAAGGTAAAAATGAGGCCATAAAGGTAGTTCTTAAAAATTCTTATAAAAACTACAATTTTTTACTTCTTTTTTCTTTTTCTTTCTTCCTTCTTTTTCTTTCTTTTTCTTTCTTTCTTTCTTTCTTCCTTTCTTTCTTTCTTTCATGTAAGTTCTCACTATGTAGCCTCCCAAGTGCTGGAATTACGGGTGTGTGCCACCATGCCAGGCTTGAAACTATAATTTCTTCACCTGGACTGCTCCAGGAGTATACAGTTGAGGCTGGAAAACATTTTCCTCTCCATAGCTCACATCTTGGGTCAGGAGAAACAAGGGCTACACAGCTACAAGCAACCTGTTTTTATTACAGTGAAAATGAAGTAGTACGGAGGGCAGGAAAGGGTGTTATATTACTCTTTCTTTACCCTTCTAGTTAGAAATAATGATTTGGGGTTCAGAAAACTTGGAGTTGACAACACAGACATGACAGAAGTCCTTGTATCAGGGTTCACTAGAGGAACATATATAATATAATATAACACATAAATGATACGTAAAGGATTTACATGGTAGGGGTACAATGGCTGTCTGCAGAGTCAGGTGTGGAAGAGTGCAAAGGGTCTGCACACCGGAGATCTGGAGGGTCCAGCCAAAAGTTGAAGATGTGGAGCTCATGGTAAAGTCCCATGTGAGTCTGTGTCAAGGAACTTCTTCTGTTCCCTACATTGGAAGGCTGAGGAATCTGTGCTGGAAGAATCCTGGAGCAGGATGTCCAAAGGTGCTGGCAAAGACTGGAGCGTCTCCAAGGAAGCAGAAGTGAGACTTCCTACTTTCCCATTATATTCCATCCAGTCTACAGATTGGTTGGTGCCACTCACACCCAGGGTGGGTCTTTCTTCTTCAGTACGTCAGTCATCCAGGCACACCAGAACTAGGCTAAACCAATCAGTTAGACATTTCTTATTCAAGTTCACACCACAATTAACTATCACAGTCTTCAAAATGTAATTTTTTTTTTCCGGTACCTGGAATTGAACTCTCAACCTGTGCTTGCCAGGCAGGCACTGTGCCGCTGAGCTAAATCCCCAGCTCTTCAAAGTATAATTAACTTTAGGACAAATGTGCTGTGCAATGGGTGCATGCTTTTTCAGATCTGCTTTTTGGCCATGGAATTCTCGGGCATAGATAAAGTACTGGCCCACCAGCTCAGGTATTATGTGCTACTGTTTGCGGCCAGTACTCCCGCAACTAAAAGGAACTTCTTGGTTTTGACTTTGGTATTTGGGAGTGAAAACCAAGTCCTTCACACTGAGCTACTCTTCCAGTCCACAAATATTTTATTTTGTGACAGTCTTGGTAAGTTGACAAATTGCCCAGGCTGGGCTTGAAGTTGCAATCCTCCTGCCTCAGTCTCCTAGAGGGCAAAGATTACAGGCATGTGCCATTCATTAGACCCTAAAAGGCACTTGATAGGTATTTTTAGAACAATTGCATCAACAGTTGAATATACACACTATCTATAAAAGAGATTTCACATGAACGGACATGGTTTATGCAGAAAATTTAAAAGTGAATGGTTGTGCTTTTTTGCATACTTAGCATAATGTGTTATGTCATTTATTCTTTTTTTCAGGGTGTGTGCTGAACATTTGCAAATTTTGGAAGGAAGGAAACTATTTTTCAACCACTTATCTCTGCTTTGGATTTAGATTGGTTAGTTTTAACTACCTCTATCTTACTACATGGTTTAGTTATTTCGTATGTTTGTTGTCCATCTCCCCCTGCTAGAAGCAGACCACAACGAGGTGGAGCCCTTATCTTGTTCTGTGTAGTCCTGGGATTCTAGTATGTGCTCAAAAATATTCCGAATGGATTAATGCTGCATAATTTGCATATTATTGTGGTTAAATTTTATGTTTTTTTTTTTTTTTTTATATTCCGAATGGATTAATGCTGCATAATTTGCATATTATTGTGGTTAAATTTTATGTTTTTTTTTTGTTTTTTTTTTTTTTTTTACTAAAATGACATTGCTACAAGGGCAGTATTCTTTATTTTAATCACCAATGTACCATAAAGTGGGGTTAGTACATTTTTAGGTTTAAGTAAATATTTTATGAGTGAATAAATGGAATATGTTAAGAAAAGTCAATCTGCCCCAAGTGATAGAGAAATACAAGTTATTTAGAATATTGCTAAACTGAAGCTTTAGTACAATATTTCCTGATTAAAATAACTTTTAAAATGAATATATACTACTGGGCTATATGCAGAGTTTTCATAAGATTTCAGCCCCAGTAGAACATATTCCTTTCCAAGAATAATTCTAGAGTGATATGTAGCCGAACTCCTACTTTTTCAAGATCATAGATCAAAAGTTATTTACTGCACTTAATAAAATGTAAGATTTGTTTTAAAACTGCATTTTAGGTAACACTTAAATTTAACACTTATTAAAAATGAAAACCAACGGTGCCCAAGTTCCAAAGATCAAGCAATTTGTTGAGTTGTCTCTAGAAAACACAAAATATTTAAAGTAGAGCTAGAACAAAGGAAAATTGTTCTGCAGAACTAGTTTCCTTTTCTGTCTCTACAGACAAAAATACACCTAAGAGGCAACAGCAGCCTCCCTTCTCACATAATTAACAGAGGGTGCTTGGTGGAAACTGCATGAAAACTTTCCTCAGAACCCCAAGTTGTCCAGTGATATGGTTATTATTTGGAATAATTTCCTTCTGTGCAGAATACCTATTTCAGA